ATCTCATTCATGAAAAATCACAGTCACTGGATGTGTTCAAAAACTATAAAGCTGAAGTTGAGAACCAATTCGGCGAAAGGATTAAAAGCGTCAGATCTAGGGGTGAATACTATGGCAGATATGACGGTTCAGGTGAACAGCGTCCAGGACCATTTGCTAAATTTCTAGAGGAATGCGGTATCATCCCACGGTTCACTATGCCAGGTTCACCTACTATAGTTGGTGTTGTTGAGAGACGAAACAGAACGCTTAAGGACGTGGTGACGAGTATGATTAGTCATTCTACCTTACCAGAATCTCTCTGGGGTGAAGCATTAAAGACCGCAGCTTATATACACAACAGAGTTCCAACTAAGACCACTGATAAAACCTCATATGAGCTTTGGACGGGCAAGTAGCCTAGTTTGAAGCATATACATATTTGGGGGTGTCCATCTGAGGCAAGGCCCTATAAGCCAAATGAAAAAAAACTAGACGCAAGGACCATCAGTTTCTATTTGATTGGATATTCCGAAAGGTCCAGGGGTTACAAGTTTTATGATCCCATAACTAAGACAATTTTCGAGACAGGAAATGCTCAATTCTTTGAGGATGTTGAGTTTACGGGGCAAGAAAGGGTTACAGGCTTTGTCTCTGAGGAGGAATATGTTGAAATTCCTCCAATTGCCATTGACAATGATCAGGTTTCTATCCCTGATATTGTTCAAGAAGCAACTCTGGATCAAGACAATGTCATACCTCCCTCTCAAGATCAACAAATTGTTCCAGAAGAACAAACTCTACAGTTTCAAGAACTAATATCATTAAGAAGATCCACTAGAGAAAGGAGAAGTGTGGTTTCGAATGATTACATCATATTTCTCCAAGAACATGAAGTTGACATTGGAATGGTGGAAGATGATCCGATCAACTTTTGTCAAGCCATGGAAAGTTCTAACTCTCAAAAGTGGCTCGATGCCATGAATGAAGAGATAAAGTCCATGAAGGACAATGACGTATGGGACCTCGTTCCATAGCCTGAAGGTGTGAAACCCATTGGTTGCAAATGGATATTTAAGACCAAGAGGGATTCGAAAGGTGATGTAGAGAGGTATAAGGCTCGTCTTGTCGCAAAGGGCTTTACATAGAAAGAAAGTATCGATTATAAAGAGACTTTCTCTCCGGTTTCTTCAAAAGACTCTTTCAGAACAATAATGGCATTGGTGGCACATTTTGATCTTAAGTTACATCAGATGGATGTTAAGATAGCATTTCTCAATGGTGACATTGATGAAACAATTTATATGATACTACCAGAAAACTTTGTATCGGACGATGTAAAGCAAATGGTTTGTAAATTAAAGAAATCCATCTATGGACTCAAACAGGCATCTCGTCAATGATATTACAAGTTTTATCATGTGATCATCTCATTTGGTTTTGAGATGAATTTGATTGATGATTGTATATACCACAAGTTCAGTGGGAGTAAATATATTTTTCTGATTTTATATGTCGATAACATATTGCTTGCCAGCAATGATATAGGCTTATTGCACGAAACCAAGAGATTTCTAGCAAAGAATTTTGAGATGAAAGATCTTGGTGACGCCTCTTTTGTATTAGGAATTCAGATACACCGAGATCGTCCTCGGGTATTCTTGGATTATCACAAAAGAGCTATATCGAAAAAGTACTTAAAAGATATGACATGCAAGATTGTAAACCAGGTGACACCCCTATGGCTAAAGGAGACAAGTTCAGCTTAAGTCAGTGTCCTAAAAATGACTTGGAGATTAAAGAGATGCAGAAGATTCCTCATTCCTCAACTATAGGGAGTCTGATGTATGCCCAGGTTCGTACGCGTCCGGATATAGCGTACATTGTTGGAATGTTAGGGAGATATTTAAGTAACCCGGGAATGGATTATTGGAAAGCAGCCAAACGGGTCATGCGGTATTTACAGAGAACAAAAGACTACATGCTCACATACAGGAGATCAGATCGGTTGGAGATCATCGATTATTCTAATTCCGATTTCGCGGGATGCCAAGATAGTAGGAGATCCACTTCAGGCTATATTTACCTGCTTGCTGGAGGTACTCTTTTCTGGAAGAGTGCTAAGCAGACACTCATAGCTACTTCTACCATGGCAGCGGAGTTTATAGCGTGTTATGAGGCATCAAATCATGGAATATGGCTGCGTAATTTTGTCACTGGGTTGAGCATTGTGGACAGTATAGAAAGACCATTTAAGATATTTTGTGACAATAAATCAGCAGTGCTGTATTCTAATAACAATAGGAGCTCAACGAAGTCAAAACATATAGAGATCAATTCCCTGGCTGTTAAAGAAAGAGTTCAGAGTGGACAGGTGTCAATAGAGTATACTGGGACAAACTCCATGGTTGCGAATCCGCTTACTAAGGGATTGATACCCAAGGTCTTTCATGAGCACACTGCTCATATGAGTGTAATGTTTCTTGAGGATATCTAGTTTCAGTGGGAGTTTGTATTTTTGCTTTTCATATTGGACACATGTACCGTTATTTTGGATACGGTTTAAAATTAAAGTTATTTTCAGTTATAAAATTATTTGGTTTATTATCTCTGAACTTGTTTAAAATGATTTCACTAAGTATTAAGGTGGACCAATTGAAAATAGGCATGTTACAAATCACCTCACATGTAATTTCCATGCTACACATCCATGCTTGATTCATGTTATTCGGTTATATCGATATACGTGACCATTGATGGGTTTAGCTACATAAAAGTAGCGAAAGCCGCTTTGATCCTATGTTGATATGATTGATGGACGGGATTGTTTGGGGATACATTCGGTAATGATAGCAAAATTCTGAATACTCATAAGGTTATGTTTAATGCACAATTATAAAGTGACACATATAGCCCAAGTGAGAGATTGTAAGGATTTTTAATCCATCGATGGGCTTATATATGTGAATAATTGTGTGTTAAATTAAAGGCTATCAAATTCGGTTGAGCCCAATTAAAGTGATCTAATAAGGCTTCGATTTTGGGTTTTAATGTGTCCAATTAAAGTGTGGATTTACATATGTGTAAAGACCGAACCCAAGTCCTAATTCTATGATGGGCCGAATTAGGTCAAAAGGCGTCGCTATATAAATAGGTTATGGTCCCCAGATCACACGTACGTATTATTCATTCTTTACTGCATCCCATCACAGAGAGAAAAATGATGTTAGGAAAATATGTAATTGGCAAATCTGTGACCAAGGACCAAATTGTCAATGTTCAATAGTTTAGGGACTAGAGTTGCAATTAACTAAAGTTTATAGGCTAGGTCTAGGGTTGTGTGGGATGCCTCGAAGATGCAAGCGACGCTTTGATTTTGCTAGAGTCTCGCCCTGACATCGCTCGAGCCACAATTGCAGAACCAACTTCGCTGGACTCACGCTGAGCTGTCGCTCGAGCGAAAGGTACGTCGCTCGAGGCTCGCTAGTACCTCGCTCGAGCGACCGTGTTACCTAGCCAATTCTAATTTTAAACGCTCGTGAATGTTTGACGCTCTACATTACCATATATCAACCTCTATATATACCAAACGTCCCATTCGTGTTCATCAACCCGAAAATTCACATTGAAAATACTTTGAATATTCTTTCAATTCCTTGGCAACCAAAAATCCAAATCATTCTCTCCAAAGATCAAAAGCCAAAGAAATCCTTCATTGTTCTCATACCAATCCTTGGCTTGTTGAGTAAAAACATCAAATCTATAAACCCCAAAACACCTGTCTCACAACTCCAATTAAACTTCCAGAAGATCATCAGTTTGAAGATCCGGGAAGGATTTGCTTGAAGAGCTGGAGTGCGTGGTGATTCACGGGAGGTAGAAATTATACAAGGCTGGGATTTAGCACGGATCTGCAAAATCCAGGAGGGTCTTGAGTTCATACAGCAAGGAGGTCAGAAAATTGAGAGTGTCAATGATGTCTGGCGTGCTGTAAGTTGGTTTCTACAATAGTGAATCTCTACTGGCTTATGCCCGGAGTTTTTACCCAGTTGGGTTTCTCCGTCAACATGTTTATAGTGTTTTTACCGCTTTAATTTATTTACTTGTCAATGGTAATCCAACATAGGTAGATAAATCACGTGAATTAATCTGGACAAATTATAATTTGTGTGACTTGTTGCATGAATTATTCAAAAAGTTTTTAATTCCGCAAGAACACCTATTCACCCCCCCTCTAGGTGTTAGTTGGGTCGAACGATAGGTTTTTCAAAGGAGACTGCGTGTAGATTTGGAAGACTATACCGCGAAATTCATTATCGCATTAACTATGTCTGATTCAGGTACGCTTTCGCTTTAATTTTTGTATTTCTTGATGATTTAACATGAAAGATCCGGTGATTTAAAAGTATTAAATTATCCTACAAAAACCACCTCATCGTTTTCATGTTAAAGCAAGCAAGGGAAAGATGTATCTACAAAAGAATTTCCACAGAATAAAGCATCTAAACACACTCTCTCTCCCCGATAATTTCGGTATCATTGGTTAACTATACAATCCAAGTTGAGTTTTTTTTTTTTTTTTTTTTTTTTTTTTGGGTGGTGTTAAAATAGCTTAAAATGGAGAATGAAATACCCTAATCCTCCTTCCCCGAGCTTTCTAACCATGGAGAAATGGTCTGTCGCAGATTTGACAATGTCTAAATCGACGAATTCTAATTTTAAATTATCCGCGTCTTCATAGTCTTCATACAGATCTGTAATGGAAGAATCTGCATTTGATTCCAAAAGTAGCACATCCTGATTTCTATTCATTTGTCTGAGGCCTGAAATTAAGGAAATATCATCACAGAAAATGACAACAATATGAAACTGAAGTTTCTTATGGTTAATTCTGTAGACAAATTAAATCACATCCTCAACTGTCCTAGTATTTAACAAGATGTATCCACCCTATGCCGACATATAGTAATTTAACAGCCTAGGAAAGAACAGTGTGAATGTTTAGCAGTTTACCTTGCCTTTCACATTCTGTCTCCAGTAGTAGCCGGAAACCAAAAGCAATACTCCAAGAGCAACAGACGAATGATAAATAGAAGCAACCTTTTCTTTTCACTTAAACCTTGTGAGAAATTCCTAGCACCGGCTTCTGCAAAATTAAAAATTTTAGGTATCTGATGTTACAGACTTTTTCTTACAAACTGTACTAGTAACCCTACCGTTGTTTTCAAATTTCCCTACTGAACTGTAAGGTAACCTCTAGTCATGTGATTGTTTGCGTTCTAACAAAAATGCGAACAACGGAGTAAATATGATCAAATCTGTGTTTCAAAAGATTAATTAATTGAGATTTTCAGAAAGCATACCAAGTTGAAGTGCATCTACATGTAGGTAAAAGTCCTGACCCACCTTGGGCTATTGTTTAATATCATTTAATTCTCCATACCATGCAAAGCTTCCCCGTTTACGAACCTCACCAGCACTGGTAAAACCAGTGCAGCTGCAGCTCTTCAAGCACTCCGTTTCGCACTCTCGTAGACTCAAATTTGAGAGCAATTTAGCGTTCTTGGCATCGGGAAGCTTCAGTTTTAGTAATGTTCTAAAACCCTCACCTTTGCCCTTCCCACAAGTATAGCTTTTTCTATTCTCCACACATTTACTTAACAAATATCGAGGGTTCTCTGGCTCAAATCCTGGCAAGCAGGAGCATATCACCATATCTCTGGAGTTACATGTTGCAGATGGACTGCAACGTGAAAATATATCGCACTGGTCTGCTGGAATTAAGAAAATTGTAGACAACTCTTTACTTTCATGAAGCCATATTAGTGCCCGCAGAGTTCCCAAGGGGTCCAGGACAAATCTTGCCAGAATGGAAGTATTTGACACTGGGAATATTAAGCAAAGCTACCAGAAAAACATGAAGCTAACTTTATTAAATCCACTTATTAGCTTGTATAAAAGTTTTAAGTTATTAGGAATAAAATAAACTTACCTATTTATATTTATATCTTCAGAAAGTTCCCATCAGGTGCCCATAATATAGTTTTCATAAAAGGTCTGCTTAGACTTATCAAGGCATTTGTCTGCTACGGTCGATCGATAATTACGTGTCATGTTACACAAGAGAAGATGAGAACTAGAATAATCTTTCACCCAACTCTACTTTTACATGGGTCATTCCACTTGTAAATCAAGAAATGTATATCGTGGTGTCCACCTCCTCACATGGAGGGAGGCCCAGAACCCGAACAATGAAGAAGGATTTTCATCTTTATTTTAAGAAAAGATGAACCTTTTCATCTTTATTCTAATTTGTATATGCGTGATATCATTAAGGAAAATTCTGTGTGCACAGAATTTCCATCACAGAAGAATTCTAGATACTCACATGGGGCCCATGTGAGTAATATAATCAAAAAAATTATCCACCCACTCCACACCATGTGAGTAATATAATCAAAAAAATTACCCACCCACTCCACACTGTGTGTATTCTGTAAAGGTTCTGTAAAAAAAAGTTCTGTATATCTAGCAGCTCTCTATTATTAATACTTCAGCAACTAAATAACAATTGAAGTCATTACCTACTTTTTGATAGATACGACTTGCAAATAAATTTGATTTGAATAATTTTATTTTTGTGGTTCGTGCTTGTTAATTATTGTAATTAAATCAGTCCATATCTAAAATAGTCCATGCACTAGAATAATTTACTATTTATTGTTGATTATTTAACGGATGTTAGCAGACAGTTGAAAGATGAATTAATTTTGGTCATTAAGAGGTATGCACACAAGAGTTCATTTAGCATTATAGCACCTATTTTCCAGGGATCGAAATCTAGATTTTAATTTAAGTAAAAGTCAACAATTAATATTAACTACATATTTTATGAATTTTACTATTTTTCAATCACACATTTCATCGGTATTTATCAAAATCTACTACAAAATTAATTTTAATCCCTACCAAAATAGGAAAAATATATAGATATTCCCCTGTTTATGTAACAAGCCAATTTTGAGATTATATAATACAAGCTCATTCCAGTACTTTTCTAGAGTATTGGCAGTGATTGATTAATTAAAAACAAATGGTGAGAACTTGGGATAATGTTAGAGTTATGGAGAAAATTCTACGATCTTTAGGTCTATTTTGAGCATATTGTAGCCACGGTTGAAGAAATTAAATATTTGGAGATCTTAACTACTGAAAAGCTCATAGGGTCTTTCAAGCATATGAAGAAACACAAAAGTGGATGCAAAAATACTTTGGAGAAAGTACTTCAAACAAGTCTTACGTTGAAGGAAAATAATAGAGACGACTTACGACAATTAAAGAGGAAAATGATGCAATCATGGATGTGACCGTGGTCGGCGAAGAGGAAGATGAGAATACATGACATCAAAAAGAGGTAACAATTTAAAGAAAATATATGAAAATTCTTAAATCCAATGTTAGATTTGTAAAAAAATGAGAAGGAACATTACTATTGGCATACAAAAGAGGGGAAGGAATAAAAGTCAACACTTAGTACCACCGCACATGTGCTAGCAATCACATGTGCGAAAATAATAACATGTTTGTGAAACCTGATGAATTGGTGAGTGACAGTCACATTTGGAGATGAATCTAAAATTTGGGTAAGAGGCAAATGTGATATCTTTGTACACTTGAATGATGGAAATCTACAATTTCTTTCAAATATTTATTGAGTGCCAATATGAAGAATATTGCTGATTGGGTCAATTTAGAAAAGGATTATGAAATTCACCTGAAAGAAAAAGTCTTTCCCAAAGAGATTGCAAAAGTAATTTGATTTCTAAATTGCCAATGAGAAATATAGAATGTGTGTAACGACCCAAAATTTACAATAAAATAAGTATGAGTCGTTACCAAAAACTTCCTTTTAATTTGATATGAGCAATTCAAAAAAAAAAAAAAAATTTATTTTATATCATCATTTACAAACAAGGTATTGGTTCAAGAAATAAACACAACTAGAATAAATACTAGAAATAAAATTTATAATCACGTTACACCAAATTTAATGTGTTAAAACAAATCTTGGCATTACGACCACACTTTATCGCCCGCTAACCAACTACTCGTTCAATCTTCTAAGAGTAGGGAAAATTGTGAATACATGAGAATACTTAGTAGGACACAAAAAATCATAGTGAAATCCTGAATAAAAATATTTACATACATGTATCAAAAATATCATACCGTTATCATATCTTTAAAAATCGATAAGAGCTCAATAAACATCATATCTTTGGTACCTGATGACCATAATAGACATATAATATCATATCATATTTTTGAACTTTCATAAGCATAATAATTCAACAGCATGAAATAAATAATTTAAACAGGATAAAAGCAATAACACCTCGTTACCTTACCTAGTCTGATCAAATAAATTTGATAGGCAAAAAATCGAATTCACGTTCCATATCTCTATTTTTTTTTTACTTTTCGGTTGTGTGTATGTATATATTCTGTTATGCAAATAATAAACCTCTTATATGATATTTAAGTTGAAAGGGACAATAAAATTTTGATAAGTTTAAAAGAGTGCAAAGTGATGTGTTTTATAATATCAATAATTACTAAAATCATTATCCTAAATAAAATAATACTTTATCCCCAACAACCCAACACATGACAACCAATCATATCAACTTAAAAAAAAAAAAAAAAAAAAACTACTAATTCAAAACGACCTTTTCCCCTTTGAAACATACGTGGCCACCCCCACAATTTAAATATAATATTTTATTTAAATCAAAACCAAAGCTAACAACTTCTATAAACTAAAATATCTTGGGTCTAACTCGTTCCATTAAACTTTTTCTCGAGCCTATTATATATATAATTAATTACGAGCTACCCAACGAATCCCATATTGATATATTTATCAATACTATATTAATATTTGAAAATTTGACCCAAATAAAATTTGAATTTAAAACCTATTTCATTTTATTTCTCAAATTTTTTTTTTCAAAATATAACATATAAAACAATTATATTTTTATTTTAAAATTTTTGGGGCGTTACGATGTGATTGTTGTTGGATATTCAAAAAGTTGTTGCAAAATGCTTGAAAGCTTGTGTAAAAGATACATCATGGCGATATCATCTAGGGTTCGTGCATTAATGACTATAGTAACTTGAACTTTGGTTATTTTAATTACTCTCTAAGAAGAGAGTGGTGAGAGATGATTGCCATTCATCAATCACTCGAATCAACTTTACAAAGGATGCCCACTTGGGATGCATTCTTGAAAGAGCTTTCCCAAATAAGCCCTTATTTGAGCTCCATTTTGGAGGAAAAATAGATTTTTGAATAGTATATTAATGAAAAATATGTGGTTAAAAAAAGGAAAAATTTTGAATTTACGTGTAATATTATTTTACTGAAGAATGTATGATTGAAATGATGTCAATATACTGTAGAAGAAAACATTTTTTCTAAATAAAGTGGTTTTTTCAACTTTATGCATTAGCTACAGGATTTTTATTTTTTTTTTGTGAAAGTATGGAAACATCATTAGTTATAGACTTGTATTACACTGATTGTTAAAAATTAAGTGTTAGTATTAACTTTGACAATTTAAAAGTATGTCCAATAATCTTTAAATGAGAAAAATGAATTAAAAAAATAAAAATTCAAACGTTATTGTAACAAGTACCAATTTCAGTCTCCGAATTTTATTTTTCGTTCCTTTTATGTGGCTACTGTTGATCACACTAAACATATTTTATATTAATAGGTATGTATTTAAATTATATCCCTTTTTATTTAACCAATGCTGTCATTCTTGGTTATTTATTAAATACAAATGAGACTTTATTTTTTAGATTATATCTAACATGGATTTCCTTGTTTGAAGGGGTAATCTTGGGTCCCCCATATCAGTAAATCTATGTGAATTTGATTATTTCAGACTATATAACTTGAAAATTTGATTATAGATTTTTGGACAATAATTTTTGTAATGACGAATTGACTTTCTATTGCTGATAAAAGTTTAATGTATATACTTATTTGTTATTTCTGTAGTATAAATATTATGTCAAAGAATTGATCTACCACACCGTTTCTTTCAAGTCATCACACCTTCATTGGCTCGTAATGTTTGTTTGGTGAGTCTTAAAATGATTTCTTTGTTAACATTTATTCATAGTTAATAAAACTATATATAAAGTAAATAATATTTTTATGAGACTTTCTTTCTTTTTTTTTTTTTTTATTGTAGTCACTTCCTAAATCTTTTGTATATCGCTCAAGACATGAACTTAATGATACAGTACATTTGATTGGTTATAATGGAATTATTTACAACATGTAACTGGAAAGAATTGATGATAACATATATCTTGCTACTGGATAGCCACAATTCTTTGACCACCATAATTTACAAGGTGGTTACATTATCGCCTTTGAATACAATAGAAATTCTACTTTTGATGTTTTGAAATTCGACCATTTAGGCATAGAAGTAATGTATGAGTCTGATACATTTGAGGCAGAGATTTCATGTACTAGTAATCCTATTTTTTGAGTAACATTAGAGGCTAATTACGATGGTCATCGAAAAATTGTGAGCTCCTCTTTAACTTTAATCTTTTCTAGATTGTATCTTTCTTGACTTACATGTATGAACCATTTTTCATATTTATTGTTCTCACTTAATTCTAAATTCGTTATTTATAGATTTGTGAATTTATTTTGTAGTATGTATCTGTGGCCTTCGCTCGATTGTATCTAACAAATTTTGTCTTGAATGTTCAAATCCATGATTGTTGGCTTCATAATTGGAAGTACAAACAAATCCAAAACCAAACGGTTATGTATGATATTTCGCCATAGGTTGGACAGGCTATGTTAGAGATAAAAAACTTCAAATAGGTGACACATATGCATTTGAACATGTGAATAATGAAATCCCCATGTTCATGGCGTACAAAGTGTGTCGCACCAATGGAAGTTTGACTCTTACATGAATTGTACATTGTCATGTGTACCTTTCATGTTTACTTATTATCAAACATTTGTTTTGTTTTCTTATGTATAGAATTTATTTTGTGTACCTGAGGCATTC